CACTGCTAGGCAAAGTTCGATGCTGGATAGGGTGAGTCTGGGGGTAAAATACCTCACGATATTCGGACCAAGGCTAGGCATTGATAACTACCCATGACTTAATTGTCTTGTGGTTCTTTCTTTTACGAACGAAGGTTCGTGGTGAAACTTATTCCATTCCTCTCATTTGATGTCTTTATCGATCCTCGTTTGCTGCTAGGAAATTTCCGAACCAGTTTCGTCAGTTGGTTGTTCATATCGATCCTTTAGGCTAGATCTAGTAAGATCACTGTATAGGATCAGTATGTGGGGATCGACGTTTGTTAGTGCTTGTAGTATAAACCTCGGGTAGCGATGGACTTCGTGCCTATTCCTTAGGAATGAGTGATAGATGATTCTTAGGGTAACTCCTTAAGAAATAAAGAAGATAATGGGGTTGGGTAATTGGGTTGATTGTTTGATGTTTAAACATAATAAATTTATGTATTATGGGTTGAAAACCCTATATGCTCACCAGGCTCCCAAGCCTGACCCACTCAGTTTGTTTGTGTCACAGGTATCGATACGAAGTTACTTTACACTGAGAGATTAAAAGAGATGTAGATCACTAGTGTAAGTGAATGTAAGTTCTGTTTATGCTTATGTTTTTGTATTGACGATGACATCCTAATGGTTTAAGTGAATAAAATATATTTCTTTGGAAATGATTTGATAATATAATTATCATGTTTTTATGGGAACAAATTCCGCAACATCTTTTAAAAGGATTACTCTAATTTTATTTTAAAAGCATAAATTAAATCGGTCTTTTCTGGCCGAGAAATTAGGGGATGTCACAATGTAAACTCAAGAACACAAGGAGTAAATAATTCTGTGTAAGCTCATATTAGATCTTCAAAGAGTATACAAATGGGTCTTGTACAAATTCTCTCTCTAGACTAACACTCCAAATGGTTCCATACATAATGGGAGTCACTCACTTCCTATTTATAGGAAAGACTCAACCCATTTACACATACAAAAGGGTAAAACCTAAGACTCCACATCCAAGCATGACTTGTACCCTAACAGAAGGCAACAATATCGGGAAGATCAGCATTTATGAACATTCGTGTGTGTTCAAAATAACTGTTAACGGAAGGTAGTCCTGATGAAACAAAATAAAAGAGTCAAAAGAATGATTAATATAACAGACTAAAATAAGGTTGGTTTGTATTAAAAAAATGTACCGTTATAAACATTAATTTTTGCAAACTACAAAAGAACAACCACACGACCAACTTGTTTATGAGCTTCAAGATAAGAAATCAATTGGTATGCAATATCTCCAAACAATGTCACGTTAACCTGCAAACCTCTGCAAAAATAATAATGATTAAATGAATATATAATACTAAAATAACAAATGCAAGGTGTAAAGTAATGAATATAATATATAATATAAGAAATAATATAAGAAAAGTTATGGTTACTCTAAGTTTCTGATTTGTAAAGGTAGCCTATGTCGAGATTTGTTTAGATCACGGGAATCAAGCTTTGCTAATGAAACAACTTCACCAATAACATCTAGAAAATGATAATACAATATGTCAAAATGATGTAAAATTAAAGAATTAAATATAATATACAATCAAGAAGGTGGAAAACTTACCAATTGAGTCATTAGATGTAGTTGTTGCAGAGATAATTCTTTCAAACGAAACACAAGAAAACACGTATGTTGTTTTGGATTGAAAGTGTAGACACTCATTGACAGTTGTTCTTCCATGCAAGTTTAACTTGGAGGTTACATCACTTATTTTAAAATTGTATCTGTTAGGAGCGATAGTGGGCGATCGGATGTAAACAGCTTGATCTTCTTTCAGTTTCGACTCAAACCTTTGAAAATCTCTTGGATAGACACTTGCTCGGATTTTAGTACACTATTCACACATGTTAAGAATAATGTTATTGGAATGAGAAAATAAACAAAACAATGATTTTAAATAATGTTATTGGACTAGCAGATTTTACCATCTCATCCATCAATATCATCTCAATTGATTTGACAATAGTGGGGTTAACATCTGAAATTGATCTCCATAGCCGGATGATAGACACTTTTAGTGTGTAATCATCCTTCATATTGTCCAAGTCTTTAATCAAAGTGATGTTTCTATCTGCCATTGTCACTATAACAGAAAGACACATACAATAAAAAGAAAAACAATGGAAGAAAATTACACACAGAAAATATAAACACACAGAAAATTACCATTATGTCCCTGTAGTACTAATTATATAAGAACAAACTTAATTAATGCAATAAAGTACATTCAAACATTCAAACAAATAAATAAAACTGAAACACACATACAAACACAAACTATATGTCCCTGTACAGAAAATTACCATTATATCCCTGGACTATTAAAATAAAGCATATTCAAACATTCAAACACATAAAATACAAACACCCTCTAGAATCAATGTATGTTCAAAAATTTGCGATTAAACAACAAATTAGTCAATTATCATTATATCCCTGTACAGATACACGAAACAGTATTTTACTTTCATTTTCAAGTGCAATTTACTATTTTTCCAAGAATAAGGAAACATAATACATGGACTATTTATGTAAATAATTTAATCAGGTACTATTCATGAAAACTTATTTTAAAAACTATAAGTAAGATGCTATATGACACTTAAAACGAAAGTCTATTGACATTTATCAAATTTATGTTCATGAAGCAGTTTGTTTATTATTACCTAAATCCGATCATAACTGTATCCTAAAAATGACTTTAATTCTTCATAATTTTAATTTTTAACATCAAAAAATTAACTTTTAAAAAATGTTACATAACTATATTCCTAAACATATAATAATTAATATTTTAAAAATAAATAAGTTTTTATAGTTAAAACTCATAATTATTAATCAATCATTTTCAATAAATAATTAATTAAAAGATTAATGTTTTTTTATTTACGTAAATGCAGAAATAAATTATTATAAAATTAAATAATCAATTTTTTTGCTTCATAATTTTTTACCCTTTGTGGAACACAAAGTTTATTATTGTCGTGAATATGGTTGACAGATTATTTATTGAAACTTTAGTAATATTTTGTGGGTTATTTGTAAAGTTTTAGTGTTAAAAACGAATTTATAACAAAATATGCATAAAAACCGATTTAAGTAAATTACATGCTAGTTTCTGGAAAAAAAATTAAGTTTTTACTTACATAAATTGTAGGTATTTCGGGAAAATACTGTAGAAATATGAGTTATTACAAAGTAGTTAATCGAGTAGGGAAAAAAAGTAAATTGTGATGCTAATTGTGTATTGCGTTACAACAAATACACACAAAAAAACACATATGGAAATAGTATATGTTCTTATGGAAATAGTATATGTTCTTATGAAAAAGTTGTTAAAAACACAAATCTTATAAAGTACAATGTTATATTCTGCATGGAATTAAAGTATGCTACTATTAAGGGATAAAAATGTAGAAAAAAATTAAAAAAATTTAATTATAGAAGGTTGCCTTTTTATTCTGTGGATTATTTGTAAAGTTTTATTGTTAAAAAGGAATTTATAACAAAATATGCAGAAAATTACCATTATATCCCTCTACAGAAAATGACCATTATGTCCCTGTACAGAAAATTTGCGATTAAAGGGCAAATTTGTCAATTATGGAAAAAACTTGAATATATATGCTTGGATTAGATTTCCTTTTTCGGGTATTATGAAAAAACTTGAATATATATGCTTCTATAAGTAATTTTGATTTAATATCTATGTACTGGTTTTTGTTTTTAAATTAATAGTATCAAATTTATGAACCGATTAAGACTTATTTTGCTTTATGTGGCATAGGTTTTTTAGGTTAGTTGTTCAAATGGCAAGTGACTGGGAAACATGTAAGAACAACACCCTATAACCATGTAAAAGTTTCTTAGTTTTGTGTTTAAAAAAAAACTTACTAAAAGCTTCATGTTAAAAGTAATACTTTCGTTATGGATATCACTATAACCATGTAAGAACAACACCCTAGCGAGACATGCATTTTCAGATCAAGATGATGGTTAATATTAAACAGAAATAGCAACAACAAAGGAGAAAATAAAGGTTGTCATGTTTTGTCCATGACTAGGAAACAGGGGCTTAAAAAAACAATTTAGTTTATAAAGAGAAATAGCAACAGTTAAGCAATCACACACACACATACACATTAAGAAGCAGAAAGAATTTTCGATTATGATTAACACACGCATACACATTGAGAAGCAGAAACTGATGTGAAAAAAACAACACAGACATTAAAAAAACAAAAGAAGAAACAAAAGATAAACAAACAATCTGAAAGTAGGTTTTTTTATAAAGTTACCGAAAGGATTGAAGTCTGTGATTAAGTGGACGATTTTCGACTGTGATGATTGTAAACCTTGGAAACACGATGCTGTAAAGAAACGATTGATATCATATGTTTGAATTATATATTGAGCAGAATACGATCAAATTGAATGCAATTGATATGATACCTTATATACAAAATTAGATACCATAATAACATGCTATGAATCGGGTATGTAATGAATTTTTGAGTTGATATGTACAACTGTTATCACCGAGTAAATGGAAAGAAAAAAGGGCGTTCTATATATTTTGATTTGTAGTTGAAACAAAGTAGGGGTATAATCGGTATTTAACTTTGGAATAATTCTGTTGTTTTGAATGGACACATGGAGTGTTGGTTTTGTTTATTAGATAGGGATATATATATATATATATATATATATATATATATATATATATATATA